CGCTGTGTGACATGGACACTGGCAGGGCAAGGCAGGTTGCTGCAAGAGAAGACAGCAGAGATGGTGGTGGCAGGGCTTGAGCAGATAACACCCCATCTTTGGTCTGCACAGTCTGCTGCGTGGTAAAAGGGAGGTGGCATCAGCTTTCCACCTCTTATAATCACAAATTCAGGGAGACAAGAAGGTGGATTCACGACTTCATTTGCTCTGTGTGGTTCTTTTAGCTGCAAAGCTGAGCAGGAGTCCCATCCGGATGGTGCTGAGTGGAGGCTGGAGCCATGCCTGGGCAGCGAGGCATGATTTTTGTGGGGCTGGGGGCTGCATGATTTTTGTGGTGCTGGGTGCTGGTCCAGCAGCCTGGTCAGGCAGGGAGCTGCAGGCTGCTCGTGGGCTCTGTGTGGGCTCTGCGTGGGCTCTGTGTGAGCTCTCCCCTCCCTGCCCATCACCTCTTGCAGGGTGCGATGCAGCACAAGCTGCTCCCCGTGCCCTGCGTGTCCCACGGCGCGCCAGGAAACCCTCGTGACATCACGCCAAGTGAGGCTGATAACATCTAACGAAGGCAGGTGGAGAAAGGAAAATAATTGTAGCCTCCAAGATTGCACTTTTATTGTAGGAATCCTGGCCGCGGTGGCGCGGCGTGTTAGAGCCGGCGATCGCCAAGGACGTCCTGAGTGCTGCCCAGCCGCCGTGATTCCCGGCTGCCATCTGTGTCACACACCCAGCACAACGTGCCTCTCTTCTGGTGTGATGCTGAAAGGATGGCTGCAGCCTCCTAATAAAGCGCTTGCCTTTCAGTTTAAAATGAAAATTAATGCTGAAATCTTGAATTTTGCATTGTGAATGTCTTCTCATAAGAAAGAATTCATGAATTGCCGTCTGACGTTACCGATTTAAGGTTGCTCTGAGTTTATACCTTTTCCCTGAAGAATATTTCCAGTTTGACAAGGCACATTTTGCTGCATTGCTACATTTTGCCCTTTACCATCTAGGAGGGGGGGGAGAATGTATGATCACGCTGAAAATGTGAAAAATGACGCTTTTAAAAACCCATCCGTGAATACGGGCTTTGAAAATCCTCAGCCTCTGTCGTGATTGAATTAAAGCAAAATTAATTTGCATCTTGGATTAAAACAAAGCAGAAATGGAGAAGAGAACTGCTGCCTACTTTGGATTTATTTAAATATGCACAGAGCTTCCTCCATTTTAATTTTCCTTATAAAAAGATGGCTGTGTTACCAAAGCTGGCAACCCCTCAGCAAGCAGCCAGCAGCTTTTTATTATTTTATTATTTTTTTTTTTCCTGTGGTGCAGTTCAGCTGAACGAGGCTGATGTGGAGTGGGGGACCCCCTTCAGCCAACGAAGCAACCAGGACGATTCATAATTCATAAGTGCTTCCAGCCATCCAGCTGAACGCCTTTCGGATTAGTTCTCGTTTCTTCGTGCAAATCCCTCATTTCATTATTCTCTCCTGCCAGCAAATACACCCCCGTTCAGCCCTCTCTCTGCAAAGATGCAGTGCCAAGCTTGGCTTTGTCTGGGATTAGCAACTGCCGGGCTTTGGGGGATCTCTGCCTTTGATGAACGCTGATTTTTTTTTTAATTGATTTATTTTTAATTTTTATTGACTGGGGAAGGGGGGTGTCCATGTGCCCCAGGAGCTCTCCTGTCTGACCGGCGATTTCTCCGTGAGGATTTGTGGACAGTAGCGTGGAGTTTTCCAAAATGCCTGAAGCAAACTATTTATTATCTGTATCTTGGGGTTATATTAAGGTGGGTTTCAATCCTGAAGGTTTATAAATTACTGTGGGGTTTTTTTTAAATATTGTATTGCTTGGATAAAACCTCTATAAGGAAGAAATGCTTTTTAAACCCTCATTTATGTGTCCTGTATGGCAAGAGATAAACATAGATGTATACTGTGCATGCGACGCGACGTTCATGTATGTAATTATTTATTTCCCCCCTTTGGGAATTCACTGTTACGGGGTAAAATGATGCAGCAGTGAAAATGTGTGATTAGAAAATGAGGAGGGTCGTAGCATGTCTGCCTGGGTGACCGAATGCTTGAATCCTACATTTTACTGTCATGATCCACGCAGATCTTCAGCTTTCTGGCATGTTTCTGTTACGTTCTGAAGACAGGCAGTTCTCTTTTACTTGCATAATTTCAAAATGGAGCAAACTTGGAACGTTCAGAACAAAAGAAGGTTAGAGGAGATGGAATTGAAAACCCATACCAGAATTTAATCTTTCAGAGAGATTACCTGAAACCTTATCTTCTCATTTGTTACAGTCAAAACTAACATGCATCTTTTGGAGGAAATTAATTTTCTAGTCTAGTGTACTGAAAAGAAATCTCTAGTCATGATGATGCTGAACAGTATCTAAATGAAACCATATGTCGCTGACTCCATTCCACAGACCTCCAGAATTTTGCTTGTAACATCTTGTCTGTGGACTGGCTTGTGTTAATTTGGAAAAGCATTTATAAAAATACCATCTTTGTCTTGAGTGTTCTTCTCCTCCCAGTTCAAGAGGATGCTTAACCGGGAGCTGACACACCTCTCCGAAATGAGCCGCTCCGGCAACCAGGTGTCTGAGTACATTTCCAACACTTTCCTGGGTAAGGCATCGCATCCCAAGCTTTCGGGTGACCCCAAGATAACAATTAACAGCAGCCTAATTACTCACCACTCAATACTCGTGCCCAGTTTTCCTTTGGGGCAGAGCATTAATTAAATGTTTTGATTTTTCACTTTCAAAAAAAAAAAAAAAAAAGGATACGGGGAGAAAAAATTATAAATAGAGTATTTGAATAAGTCTCTATCTGCAAAAGAATCCCCTCTGCAAATGAAAAGGTTTTTGTGTTCAGGTAGAATTAAGCTGTGGGTAGCTGCGTTATGCAATGTTTGGGTTTTAATTTGGGTTTTATGTTGACCTTATGTAAAGGACAAAGTCACGCAAGCCCAACTGCACACTCTCCTCTTTGCAACTACTGCCTCTTACAGCTGCATCTTCCCCCTTCAGAGACGGGTTCAGAAAAGTCAGTTCAGCCCAGACATTTTATGTATCACTTTGGATATATATATTTCCTCTTTTTGCAGCGGAAATATACTCAAAATAAAGAGTAAAGAGAATATTTTGCATGTCATGAGTTTCGTTGGAGCTCATAGGACTGTTGACGTGAATTACTCTGTGTTAACAAAATATAGGTGTTATGAAAAATAGAATTTTCTGCGTTTTCAAGCAGCTTTAGAATTTTGTGACCGTTTGCATATAAAACAAAGCTTAGCACAGGACCCTCATGTACATCTCTGAGTCCCAACAGCTTCAAATGCTGAGTGGTACGTGGGATGCCAGAGCTCTCGGGGGATTTGTGCCCTGCAGTGAAGATGGCCCAGGACTGTCACTGTATGACACACAATTATTTCCTTTAAGGGATTTAAAAGTGATTTCAACAGCCAGTTGCGACTGGAACCACCGCGTGCATTTAGGACAGATCACATCATTAATAATCCACCTAAGTCCGTGGCTGCTTTGTGGGAATCTCTTGGTCCTGTCTTATCACTCAGTTTAATCATAGAATCCCAGACTGGTTTGGATTGGAAGGGACCTTAAAGCTCATCCAGTTCCAACCCCCCTGCCAGCAGCAGGGACACCTTCCACTAGACCAGGTGGCTCAAAGCCTCATCCAACCTGGCCCTGAACACTTCCAGGGAGGAGCAGCCACAGCTTCTCTGGGCAACCTGTTCCAGTGTCTGACCACCCTCACAGTGAAGAACTTCTTCCTAATATCTCATCTAAACCTCCCCTCTTTCAGTTTAAACCCATTTCCCCTTGTTTTGTCATTAATTGCCCTTATGAAAAGTCCTTCCCCAGCTTCCTTGTAGGCCCCAATCATGACATCCAGAACGTGAATTAATCCAGGGAACAGAAGCAGGGCTGCCAAGCTGCCAGCCAGCAGGCCACTTCTTCAGCTGGAGAGCCTGGAGCGTACACAGCGCGCCGGGGAGCGTGACCACCCTGGCATTTTCAGGGAGTTTGTTGTCCTTGCCAGTAAGCGTATGTCTCTGGAGCAGGATGTGCTGCAGCAGACATACCCAACGTGGCTTGTTACCACGGACCTCATCTACAACTAATAAACCACACAACACGCTCAAGTTGGTGGAGTCTGTATCTCAGCAGGGGTTAATTAGCCGGAGCCGCTGCTGGTGCTGACGGGGTTGTGTTATTCCCCGGACTCAAGCTGGGTCAGGTAACTGCGTTTCCCTTTGCAGGTCTTGGCAATGGTCTTGTTCGTTCCTATTCTGCTTCTTCTCAGGCTGCCCAGGGAGGGTGTGGAGTCTCCTTCTCTGGAGACATTCAAGACCCACCTGGACGCCTTCCTGTGTGATCTCCTTTAGGTTCCTGCTCTGGCAGGGGGGTTGGACTGGATGATCTTTCGAGGTCCCTTCCAGTCCCCAACATTCTGTGTGATTCTGTGATTCTCACATATTGTGTAATGGTGACGTTTTGTGGCAGTTTGAGGGCCACTCAACCACTCTAGGGCTGTGTTAATGCTGAGTGGTGCAGGCTCTCCAGATTGAGCCAGATTGCAGCTTGATTGCTCGTGTTAAAAAGAAATGAGTAACGCTGTTAAAAGGATCTTAAAGTGGTTTTTTTTTAGGAAGTCACACTGTTGCATTTTTATGAGTTAACTTTTGTCTCCCCTGCAATTTGGTTTAAAATTAAAGGAACACAGAAAGTAACAAGAGTCTACAACTGAGGAAGTTGAACAAAAAACAAACAAAAAAATAAATATGTGGATAGGACAATCATAGAATCACAGAATGTTGTGAGCTGGGAGGAACCCACAAGAGTCATGGAGTCCAACTCCTGTCCCTGCACAGGACAATCCCAACATTCACACCATGTCCCTGAGGGCACATGTTGGCCAAATGCTGCTGGAATCTTGTCAGGCTTGGTGCCATCAGCACCTCCCTGGGGAGCCTGTTCCAGTGCTCCACCACCCTCTGCCTCAAGAACCTTTTCCTCATGGCCAACCTCACCCTCCCCTGCCACATCTTCCTGCCATTCCCTCTGCTCCTGGCATTTGTTGGTGGCCAGAGAGAAGAGATCAGCGCCTGCCCCTCATCTTCCCCTTGGGAGGAAGTTCTAGACCCCCAGGAGATCTCCTCTCAGTCTCCTCTTCTCCAAATGGTGTTTGTTAGGTGGGGATAACTTAGAGATCCCATGACTTCGTTCATTCTCTTGACTTTATTAAATGAGCTGAGGAAGGCACCAAGCAGCAATGTCCTCTGCCATGGGGCCAGTTCTGCAGTCACCCTTTGGTCAGTGAGAGCAAGGACACCAGCTTTAGCTCCGTATGAAGGACAGAGATGAAAACCAGCGGTGTCATCATTGGCCACATCACGTACACAAGGAAGGTCATGGTGGCCTTTCAGCACATACCCTTTCCTAAGGGCAGAGGGGGTGTTACTGCCACCACCACCACCACCACCGTGGGGACATGATTTAACAAAGGAGAGATTTCTGTTCCAGAATGTCCCATTTTACACTGCTTTAGCGTTAGTCATTGCTAAGGAGATTATATGGAGGAAAGTCCTTGTGTTGTTCAGCAAAAAACACACAGGGGAAACTCCCATTGATGTCAGCTTGACTGTTGCTGTGAAGAATGGCTTCCTCCTTAATTGCAGTGTTGGAGACACACTGGTAGTTCTTATTTCAGAGATTTTTAATTAAGCCAAGGCAGAAGTAACTCATGCCTTGTCCCTCCAGAGGTCTTCAGAGGTACAAAGGTGCAAAGAGATTATAGTAGCCTTTTCTAAAAGACCATGAAAAAAATTGGGCAGGATGAAAGGAATGAGCCACTCTATTTTCATGCAGCAAATAAATCAGTTGTAAAGGCAGTGAGTAGCATACGTGGAGATATTTATTTATTAAACACATCACCCCAGCCAAGTTTTTGCCCTACTAGGTGCCTGTTTAATGTGCACTAATACTGTTGCTATCTCTGAGCATGACAATAGAAATACAGTCTGTGCATTGTATGTTATTCTGGTCAGATTTGTAAAGGGCAAACCTTTAATAAATCAGTGACACCAATTTGTTAATTGGGTTGATGTTTTAAGAGCAGGGGGTGTGCAGATGGGATTGGCCTTAATAAGTATCAGTAGAATGAATGTGCAAATATATGCTTATGTACTTCATTGAGAAAAGAGTGTGTTGTTTGAATATATATTTTATTTTCCTGATAATATGTAATAAAAATTAATTGAGGTCTAGCCATAAGCAGAACCTGGAGCCCCGCAGGCATGGAGAGCTAGCTCCTGGACATGTGCTGCATCCCCAAGTGATGCAGCTTGAAAATAGCTAAGATGAAAACAGGCTGGCACTTCATGTCCCAGCAGAGCTCAGCGGGAAGGTTTGGTCTCACCGAGGGCAAACAGAGGTTATGTGCCTGTTTTGCTTTGATTTTGGTTCAGTTTGGTCCCAAAATTAGAGAAGGTCCCCAGCAGAAACACATGGGTTTGAACTGGTGCGCAGAACCACTTCATCAGCCAAGCCAAGGGTTGGTTTTGAGGGGTGTGATGGGTGCTCACACTGCGAGCGATGTTGACTCATACCACCTTGATTTGTTACAGACAAGCAGAACGATGTGGAGATTCCTTCTCCCACCCAGAAAGACAGAGAGAAGAAGAAAAAACAGCAGCTCATGACACAGATCAGCGGAGTGAAAAAATTAATGCATAGTTCGAGCTTAAATAACACCAGCATTTCACGATTTGGTGTGAAGACAGAAAAGGAAGATCATCTGGCCAAGGTATGACCGATTCTGGCAGTTCTGGGAGAATCAGTATTGTCTGTAAGCCACGGATGGACTGGCTGGCAGGACTGCCCCCCCTTGTAAAACTGGAAATGGTGTCCCTGAAGTGATGTGACCATTACAAATAGTGTAATTAACAGTACCAAGCCCTAACAGCTTATTCAGGGTTGATAAATTCCTTGAAAATATACCTAAAATAATAAAAAAAAGTGATGAAGGCTGAGGAGAGCAATTATCAAACACAGGAACATGGAACAATGCTACATCCAGCAAACTGGCTGTGGAGCCTTTGTCTCTGTCAGGGCATTTTTTTTCTTGCTACCTGGAAACAGGCATCACAAATAATTCCCCTGTCACACAGAGAAATGTCATCTCCTTGTACAAGTGCTTTGGCATCAGCCCTTCACAGTTACTCTGTGTTCGTGTACTTGATTAAGTACCCGTGTGCATGCACTGACATAATTACCACAACCAAGGTTGAATTTACATCTTTTTAAACTTCTGGAAAATGCAAAAGACGTGGTGCAAGTGATAAATATAGAATTGTCTTGAACAATATTGTAACCATTCTCTTTTTTTTTGTCTTTTCCAAAGGAACTGGAAGATCTGAACAAGTGGGGTCTCAACATATTTAATGTTGCCAGGTATTCCCACAACAGGCCTCTCACCTGCATTATGTACGCTATATTTCAGGTTTGTCATTCTCTAATCAAATTTGCTGTTCTTTTACCACACTATTTTAGTTTCTATTTGCTTTCTGTTTTGTCACCTCTACAGTATGACATCTTTATTTGATATACACATGTATGCTTGTGCCATTTATTACACAGGAGCGAGATCTACTCAAAACATTCAAGATCTCATCGGACACTTTTGTGACGTACATGATGACGCTGGAAGACCACTACCACTCGGATGTTGCTTACCACAACAGCCTCCACGCTGCTGATGTTGCCCAGTCCACGCACGTTCTGCTTTCCACCCCGGCACTGGATGTGAGTTACCTAGTTTGAGCCAAGTGCTTTGTGTCGGGCAGTCGTTGTGTTTTGATGACCTTAAAGATCATCTAGTTCCAACCCCCCCGGGGGGGGTGGTTGGAATTAGATGATCTTTAGGGTCCCTTCCAATCCTAACCATTCTATGAAAGAGGGGAGGTTTAGATGAGATATTAGGAAGAAGTTCTTCACTGTGAGGGTGGTCAGACACTGGAACAGGTTGCCCAAGGAAGTTGTGGCTGCTCCTCCCTGGAAGTGTTCTCGGCCAGGTTGGATGAGGCTTTGAGCAACCTGGTCTAGTGGAAGGTGTCCCTGCTGCTGGCAGGGGGGTTGGAACTGGATGAGCTGTGAGGTCCCTTCCAACCCAAACCAGTCTATGATTCTAATGTGGGATGGCGGCTTAAAAACATCATGCTGCCTACGTGAACTTCGAAGAAAAACCTTTAAGCTGAGTCAATCACCAGTGGCACTCAGACTTGAAAAAGCAGCGTGCTCCCTGCTCTTCTGAGGGCACACTTCACTGCCAGGGAAATCACCGTTGAGAAATTGCAGCAGTAGCTTTGCCTGCAATCTCTGTTCCATCTTAAAGAGCACATGCTGCTTGTGGACCTTTCTTCTGAGCAAATGTCCTCAGAGAACTAATTTTAAAAGCACAATTTGTTTCTCTAAATCAGCCTCCCAAACTGTTGAGAGATCAAACGTAAGGACTTTTCTGACAAATTCCTTTTTTCCTTCCTAGGCTGTCTTCACTGATTTGGAAATCCTCGCTGCGATTTTTGCAGCTGCAATTCATGATGTGGATCACCCCGGGGTCTCCAATCAATTTCTTATTAATACAAGTGAGTTTTGTCTCAAAATACAATAATAACGTCATCTGCAAACTTGGCAACTAATGGAAATGCATTTTCCATTACAGCAGGGTCACAAATTATGACATATTTCATACTGCATTACTTTCTCAAAATATTGTGCAGTAAACTAGTTAGACATTTTGAAATAAAGCAGTAATAAAAATGAAATTCCCAACAAAGGAAGCTATTGTAATACAATTTGCAAAGTGCCCTTGAATCTTGTGAATGTTACTACTTGCTGATGCATAATAATTCTTCCAGTCCTGAGTGCAAATTTTATCATTAATTTAAGATAAATAACGCTATTGCTATTGACAACGATAAAACTAAATATTATGCTTCGTATTGTGTTCCCCAACAGGCTAAGCACGTCTCTTGATTCCAAAATACAAGTATTGTTCTTTTTTGGAAAGTACATTTGCAGGGTTCATGCTTTCTGTTGTCCGTGATTCTGAAGCCTGTAACTAAGTCAACCAAGTACTAATTTTGTTCGTTAGAACCGAGCAAAGGGCTGTTTATATTATATACATATGTGCTCGCCTTGGAAAACCGCACGCTCTTGGCACCCATGAAGCGAAAGAAGAGAAACTTTCCCCGATTTATTGCATACTGATCATTTTTAGTACCCAGGACAGGCATTTGCTGTTGGAAATCACACATTTCGCATACTGGAGTCACATATTTGTGTTGCTTCCTTAGATTCTGAACTCGCCCTGATGTACAACGACGAATCCGTCTTGGAGAACCACCATCTGGCTGTGGGTTTCAAACTGCTTCAAGAGGAGCACTGTGACATCTTCCAGAACCTGACCAAGAAACAGCGTCAGACACTCAGGAAGATGGTGATTGACATGGTATGAACTATGCACACACTGCTTCTCAAACACAAAACTGGTGTCTTTGTATGCTCGCCCATGCTGAGATCCTGTTTTCACTTCTCTAAAGGTTTTGGCGACAGATATGTCCAAGCATATGAGTCTGTTAGCTGATCTGAAGACTATGGTGGAAACTAAGAAAGTGACCAGTTCAGGAGTCCTCCTTCTGGACAACTACACAGACAGAATACAGGTACGTCAGCCAGGTGTCCTGGATTTTGTGTGCTTTGTTCAGGACTGAAGAAATCGTGCTTCCCTTTTTACTGTGGCTTTTAAATGGACCATTTAGAGAAGCTACTGACCTAAATTTTCAGCAGTTTATTTCTGTTCTGCACCACAAAAAAAGGTACCAGGTGGTCCCATATCTCTTAGGTAAAGGGGATTATGTTTTAACACTTAAGAGCATGGAACTGCAAACGTGCACATTCTCCTGTAGTTAACCTTAGTTTTTGAGGGCTCCTGAATTTCCTTGCTGCTTTCTCCCGTTTGTTTCTCCTGTCGAAAAAGTAGAGCAAGGTTGCTAGAGCATTGTGAGATTGCAGGAATTTAATTTGTAACTCCCTACCTAAAGCAGCTCTCACACTTTGAGCTGAAATTAGTGATGTGCTGTTCCCTCTATCATCTAATCCCTGATTTACAGACATGACAAAGCAGCACTGGAACAGGGTTACGCAGTTAGTAGGACAAGATACATCCTGATCTTCTCTCCACTTTGATGGCCAACTTCTTAAGAACAGTCTCATGGGAAAACTCTCCTTACATTTTTATTTAAGAGTGCTGATGTTAAAACATGTTCCTCACTTGCTGTCTAAATCCTTGCAGCCCCAGTTAGCCAGGCACATTTTGTGTGTGTGTGTGTGTGTGTGTGTGTGGAAGGGATATTACTCATTTAATAAAGCAGGAGCGTTTAACCATCTGAGAACATGGAAATACATTTTCAATGGTGGGAAGCACCTGCATTCAAAAAAAAAAAAACCCAAAAACCTATATGATGTAATAATTACCATTGCCACAACTGCACCCTGTGTAAGCATCGAGTTGTCTGAACAACACAGAGTAAGTTTTACTTTCGAAGCGGACCGTAGCGTATATGGAGATGTTATGATGTTAAATATTTTTATAGGCTGTTGCATAATCAAAGAGTCTTGTGGTTAAATGTTCTGAATTAAGCAAGCAGATACAGCTTGAAACCATCCTCTTTTTTTTTTTTTCCATTTGATTTTATGAGTTTTCTGATTAATGTAATTGCAGGTTCTCCGAAATATGGTACATTGTGCGGACTTGAGTAATCCCACAAAGTCTCTGGAGCTGTACCGGCAGTGGACGGACAGGATCATGGAGGAGTTCTTCCAGCAGGGAGACAAAGAGCGAGAGAGAGGAATGGAAATCAGCCCAATGTGTGACAAACACACGGCCTCAGTGGAAAAATCACAGGTAATTGGCCCTGAGCTGCGTCTTTGTGCTGCCTAAGCCTGTGTTTTTAAAGTGGAGACAAAATTCATCTGCTTTGTCTGGCACAATTAGGCAAACAGCCAGCTGTTGAGAGGCTTGGTTCTGACTGACCCTGACATCCAGCTGTGCCTGAAGCTCATACAGACCCGCGAGTCTGTCCAGACTCCTTTGGCATCTCCTCATTTCCAAGGCGTGTTCATCTTGCCCCGTTGGTTCCCAGTTTTCAGAGCGAGCTGGTTTCCTTTTGTTCCCTAGGTTTGAAAAGTGCCATCCTGATCTCCCCTTCTCCCAGCTCTCTGCTGCCTTCATACCCTCCAGCCTCCTTAACTAGCACCTCCTAAACCTGCTGATACCATACCCTGGGTGACAGAGCACTGGAACAGGCTGCCCAGGGAGGTTGTGGAGTCTCCTTCTCTGGAGACATTCAAAACCTGCCTGGACACCTTCCTGTGTGATCTCATTTAGGTTCCTGCTCTGGCAGGGGGGTTGGACTGGATGATCTTTGAGGTCCCTTCCAATCCCCAACATTCTGTGATTCTGTGTTAGACATTTCTAGCAATGCCAGCCCCATTGTACAGCAGGGTTAGGAGCTTCTCCCAGCTGAGATCCGCTTCAGGACACTGGAAAAGTCTGGTTGTCAGTCCTTATCCAGCCTCTTGCAGAACAATTTTTGCAGTGCATGATGTGGCTGGTTAAATTAGAGGTCTGATGGAGCTGCTGTGTGCCGGGTGAAGTCAAAGAAATCTTTATTTATGTCAATACAAACCTCAAAAGGAGCTGGATACGGTTTTGGTTGGGGTTTTTTTGAGATTAACTGGCTCATCCCTAGTTCTGATTCATAGATCAAACGGTTTCAAGGTCAGATTTTGTTCTGACCTGTGGAGCACGAGCCATAAAATTTCACCCGGTTATTCTGTAACGAAGCCGGTAATTTATGTTTGCCTAAACATTTTCCAGCCCTTTATATAATGGTGTCTTGGTTGTTGTTTTTAAATGACTCGAGCAAGTCATCATCGAGGTTTTTCAGCTTGAATAAGTAACAAAATTGATGATAATTATTTCCAAATGTCCTCTTGGGCTAAGCCAAGTGGTTTCAAAATTATTCACTCAACCGCATGGTGATTTTGTTGGAAAAATCTGTCTTATTTGTTAACCTAACAAGAAATGAATCTTTTGGCCAGGCTTGGCCAGAAAATGCCCATGTGCACTGTATGTGAGCTCCAATTAATTTTTTGTTTCACATAAGCACTTCACAGAGGTTTCAAAATGGCATTCTTGCTATGCCAAAAATTTAAATAAATAAATAAATGGGAATTGCAGACAATGGCCACCATTGAGATCCCAACCAGCGGCCAAGGAGAAAGGGAGGTGGTGGGTCCATTCAAGAGGGGATTGATGGGAAAATAGGATGCAAGTATTTCAGAGCTCTAGGTGGTACCTCTGTAACATCAACATATTTTAAGATCAGTGCTCAGCCATCTCCCCCAGCTCTTCCACGATTTGGGCTGTTTGTTTCAAGAAGCAATGAGGTGGTTACGAAGGGACCGGTCTCTGGCTGTTGGAGCTGTGTAGTCCTTGAGCATTTTGGGTGGTGACAAAGTCATCAGCTAACCATCCAGAATTTTTATTTTATTTTATTTTATTTTTTTCACTTTAAAAGTGCTCCGGAACATGTGCTACAGGAAATTTTCATCACCTTTTTGTTTAAGCTGCCTCAACAGTACGTTACAATTGAACGTTAATGGTTCTATTGACATCCTGTTGTGTCTGAAGGAGGCATGTGTGATTTCCAAAGCAAACATCTGCACGTTGAGGCCGGCTCCTTTGAGAGCCATTTTCCTGCTGCACAGAAATGTTGTCCAGCGGAGGGAGGAGAGGAGTGACACATTCTGCCAAGACAGAAGAATTTCAATCCTCTTTATGGCCATTCAGTTTTCTCCATCCTGGACGTACGTCCTCTTAGTCAGACAATTGAAAAACTATTGAGCTCAGAGCTTACGCGCCAGCCGGCGGAAGGACTGACGGACTCGCCCGCAGCCCTCACTGTTTCCACCGCTGGCACGGAACTCCATGGGAGTCAGGCGGCAGCGATCAGTCCGCCTTCATGTGGGAGGAGTGCTGCTTGGGATGAGATGACCTGTTTTCTGCACTTTTTCCAAAGCGAAATGAAAGGAAAGGAAAGCTCCACCAGCGCCAGGGAGGGACTTTGGCCAAGGGCAGGGAGTGAGAGAACAAGGGGTGATGGCTTGAAAGTGTCAGAGGGGAGATGGAAATGAGATGTGAGGAAGAAATTGTTTGGTATGAGGGTGGTGAGACAGTGTCCCAGGTTGGCCAGAGAAGCTGTGGATGCCCCCTCCCTGGAAGTGTTCTCGGCCAGGTTGGATGAGGCTTTGAGCAACGTGGTCTAGTGGAAGGTGTCCCTGCTGATGGCAGGGGGGTTGGAACTGGGTGAGCTTTAAGGTCCCTTCCAACCCAAACCAGTCTGGGATTCTATGATATTTAAAATCACACATGCAGCTCAGCATGGGATTGGCAGCTCCATCACGGAGTTTGCAGGTGGCTCCTGCAAAATCACTCTTTCATCCAAGGTTTGATTTTGAACGAGACATCAACCTGGTCCAACGTTGTAGGTGCAGCTTTGGGTATCAGATGATCACGTCTGCAATTAGACTGTGCTGGTTTGGGGACTTGCTGTGGGGCGGGGATTTTGCTTGTAAAAATCATGTATTAAAAAACGTATCCAAAAATAATTTGAACTTTTTAGACACCCATCTGCTCCTAGCCCTTCCCTTCCCCTAAGCATGCGTGTTCCTCTGTTTCTCAGGTGGGATTCATTGACTACATCGTCCATCCGCTCTGGGAGACGTGGGCTGACCTGGTGCAGCCTGATGCCCAGGACATCCTGGACACGCTGGAGGACAACAGGAACTGGTACCAGAGCATGATACCTCAGAGCCCTTCTCCTCCGCTGGAGGAGCGGGGCAGGGACTGTCAGAGCCTGATGGAGAAGTTCCAGTTTGAACTGACGCTGGAGGAGGAGGATTCGGATGGGCCGGAGAAGGACAGCGAGAGCATCGGCTACTTCAGCAATACAAAGACACTCTGCATGGCCGACCCAGGGGAAGAGGATTCACAGAGAGAGGCCAACATAGAAATTGTGACAGAAGATACGTCTCCTGTCGACACATAATGTCCTGTACCCGTGTGAGTGGATTTTAAACACTTCATGAGCATGCAAGCAAGTCTGACGGACTAGCCTGCAGCCTGGGACTGAGGCCCGTGTCTCACGTTGGCTGAAAGATCTTCCCAGCTACTTGAGATTTGGAGTCAGGGTTAAAGATCGTGTAGTGAATGATTGATTGATTGACTGATTGATTGCTCAGGAAATTTAACAGGTGATTTACATTGTGGTTTAAGCCTTGTCAGCTAAGAGCATCATGGTGTTGTCCTGGAGCTGGCTTGGGTCGTCACTGAAGAGTAAATGACACACAACTGAGAGATTTTTATACTGTTTAGTTTTGGAATTTATACCAGTTAGACTGATAGAAACTACTGATTAATAACTCTCCGTAGAAAACCTGTCCACCCGACCACCTGTCTGCAGACCTGTGTGCCTTCTTTGTAAACACTTTCATGTCTTTTCGAGAGTCTATTAATTAAATACACGGAGTTTAGTATATTAAAAAGCGACACAAAGTGTTTCAAAATTCGACGGAGACTTTTTTGATTCTTCCTGTTAACAAGAAGCAGTCTTCCTTTTTTTTTTGGGTTTTTTTTTTTTCATGGGCAATACCTTTGTCACTTTATTGCAGTTTAATCACTTTTACAGACTCAATGGAAGGGAAACCCTCTTGTTTCGCGTTACCGCACCTTTAATAGTCTTCTTCATACCCCAGGCGACCCGTTTGCGGTCCCCTCGTGATGCCATCGTGCACCATCTCCCTTGGCTTGCCAGGAATAGCAGTATTTTCTCCTCAGCGGGGTTTTCTTTCTGTCGTGCACAGGATAGAGGGTGGTTTGTTTCCGTGGCGCAGCGCAGCACATCGATAAAGTAAAGCCTTGATGAGGCAGCGTGTGACCACCCCCCCTTCCCCCTCGGCAGCTCCTTGGCTCCGTGGAAGTTGCACGCTCGGATCTGTGTGTTTTTTCCCTCTCCTGTTGTTCACGTTTCTTAGGTTTAGGTCCATTGTCCTCCTCCTGCACTGCCTTGAGCTCTAACACCTCCATTACTGTTTATAACAGTGTATTTATTACGTAATGTATATACTGTAATGTTTTGTAAGTTATTAATTTATATGAATTAACATCGCCTGTCGGCGGCGATGTTAATTGTGTAGAAAACTCGAAATAAGAGTTGCCTTTTTTTTTTCTTTTTTTCTTTTTTTTTTTTTTTTGGTTGTTTTTCTCTTGTAACCTTTTGTATTGCATAAAAAATACAAGAACCTGAACATAGCTGAAGAGACAGACGCAACCCAGGAAGGGCATTCGGGGGGCAGCCGCCCGCGGCGGGTTCGTCTTCACGGCGAGCCGGGGGTCTGGGGGGAAACCAAGACCCCAGGGCAGCAGGCGAGCGGTTGGGAATGCTGAAAACCTAGAGAGGGGGAACAACAAGTAAAAAATAAATAAACTAAATAAAATAAATAAATAAAATAAAATAAATAATAAAATAAATAAATAAAATAAACCCCCGTGACCGGGCTGGCTTTTAAATGTCACGTTCCAATTCCTCAACAACCCAATGTGAATTTCTATGACAAAAAAAAAATGTGAACTGATGTAATAATTGTGCTGTGAAAACTTCTTCTGACAAAGCTTGTCCGGCATCGTGAGCGGTGTCAATCTCAGTTTGTAAAATATGTTTCAAGCTTTTGGTCCAACTTGTGACTAACTAGTTAATGAAAATAGCACAGTTGTGCATGATCAATGGGTTTGTATGTCTGTTGAACACTGCATTGTTCCAGGTGGTTATTTTATTGTTTCCAAAAGTTTCACACAATGTATGTTATAGTATTATTATATATTGTGTTCAGATGCATTCTTAAGAGATTTTTATATGAAGTGAATAAATGAAAGCATGACCCTGCCTGCGCCTCTTTGTGCTGCTTTATTTAACAGGTCAGCCTGGGCTGCGTCTCGCTGTGCTCGGCCGGGACCCGGCTGGCACCGGGGGCACAGCAGAAGCAGCCAAAACCCAGCGGAGACGCAGAGCCCTGGGCTTACGAACGGGAAGAGAAAGGTTTCTGCGGCCAGAGGGCACGGCCACCCTCTCATCGTGCCGGCTGCGAGACCTTCGCCTTCCTGAGCGGCAGCCGGCGGTGGTGGCGGCGGCGACAGGAAGGCGGCTCGCGGGATGCTTTCATGTCCCGGCCTGACCCAAAACAACCGACTTTCCAGTAAAAAAAACATCCTGTTGGCAAGCGGTGAGGGGACAGTGGGGACTCTGTGCCACCAGGGACTCCCCCCAGGCCACCCTTGGTGATGCCGGGGTGGCCGGTGATGCCCGGAGGAGACCCTGCTGTACCACCCCGTGGGTCTCCACAGGCTTCACCCCGGTTTGTTTTGCACGGTGCTGGTGAAAACTTCTCAGTTTTCATCATAAGTTTTCATCAACTTATCAGATGCTGCTACTGATTTCTCTTTTCCAGTGAATGTGCAGACATAGAAAACAGTTTATCCAGCTGGAGAAACATTTCCACTTTTGGGTGGAGAAAATGGCCAAGTGGGAGAGACAGCAAAGAGCTGAAGCTGTGGGTGACCCAGCAGCCCCCCCAGCCAGCGGGGAGGTGCTGAGCACGGGGTGCTGTGCCCTGGCCCCCTCCCCTCCACCCGCCTTCGCTCCCTTGATTTCTTTCCTTCCCGATGACCTAGTTCTGCCCGGCAGCGGCTTCCTCGTGAGCACACCAAACACGCCGTTGCTCTGAAATAACAACCTCCTTTCACTTCTCCTTCTCCACAGCAGCACGGAAAACGCTCCGATGGCAGCTACACTGTAAAACCAACCCCAATCCCTGCTGTTTTCCATCATTTTTGGGGTGGGAAATCCCAGTGGAGGTGCGGGGAGGCTCGCTGGCTCCACTTTCCTCCTTTTCTCAGGGGACGAGGACACGTCTTGGCTCCACTCTGCTGTCCCCGCGTCCAAAACTCCCTCTGGCCCCGAGCACCCGCTGGGGTTTGCAGTTTCCTTCAGCATCGGAAGCGTGTCTGCGCGGAGGCAGCGATGCTGAGCTTCCTCCTCGCTCGTTGGTGGCCGGGGTGGCCAGTGGTGATGGGTCCCCACTCGCCCTCCCCAGTGATCCCACCACGGGTGCTGCCTCCAGTGACCACCCAACAGGTCCTGGCTGCACCCAGAGGGGCTGGGAATCACCATTGCTGGGATATTGGGGAAAACAAGATGAAAAACCAAAACCTGCAGCAAAACGGGGTGTAGAAAGGGCGCCTTTCAGTGTATTTTCAGAGAATCACAGAGTGGTTGAGGTTGGAAGGGACCTTTGAAGGTCACATCTAGTCCAAACCCCTGCTCCTAGAGCACATGAACCAGGATTTTGTCCAAATGGTTTTTTAATATCTCCAGGGAGGGAGATTCCACAACCTCTCTGGGCAGCCTGTCCCACCCTCCCAGTAAAGAAGTTCTTCCTTATGTTCAGGTGGAACTTCCAGTTCATGCCCGTTGCTTCTCGTCCTATTGTTGGGTGCCAGTGAGAAGAGTCTGGCCCCGTCCTCTAGACACTCTCCCTTTAGATATTTATAAACATTAACCTGAGTCATCTTTTCTCCAGGCTGAACAGGTCCAGCTCCCCCAGCCTTTCCTCCTATGAAAGATGCTCCAGCCCTTTAATCATCTTAGTCACCCTTTGCTGGACACGCTCCAGGAGCTCCAGGTCCTTTCCAGAGAGGGGAGCACACGCTGGCCCCTCCTTGCTGCCGGCAGCAGTGATCACTGTTCCAAACAGCCCCTACTCCAGCAGTGGCCGAGTGGCCACCATCCTCGAGGACATCATTTCCCGCTGAGGCCACAGAGCTGCTGGAGCTTCAGGGGGTGGTTTCCACCAGCTGTAAACCCACCCGTGGGCATCAATCCTGGGGATGAGCCGCTGTTGGCTCTGAGCCGGGAGCGGAGCCGGCTCTTCCCAGCTGCCCGGGGCGCGGGGACAAGGGTCTCGCTGAGCTCCCACCGCTGCCAGGAAACTTCTGACCCCAGGGTCGGCGTTGTTAATAGAAACCATGATGCAAAGAAATCAAATCCTAAAGCAGCAGCTCTGTTGCTCTTTCCCGTGGCGCGCGGGCGATGTGCCGGCTCTCCTGGGTGTGGGGATGATTTTCCATGTGGTTTTTTTTTCCTCATGGTCCATAGGAGTTAGGGATGAGCGTGGGTGTTCCCACCCATTTGCACACTGGTGGATTCCAGCTGGTTCTGGTCGCTGCCGTGACCTGAGCTGCTCACGCTGTTCTCCACTGGTGAAAAGTGTTGAAGAAATCTTGAGTTTCTTCCAAGAAAATGCTTCGAGAATGTGGATTTCTTGTCTGAATAACGACCTTTGTGCCAGGCCATCGATCAGGCTGGTGGCTTTGGGTATCCCATGCTGCTCACCATGGGCCTGGCTGGGGACAGGGATAGAATCAGAGAATCATTTGGTTGGAAAAGACCTTTGAGATCATCAAGTCCAACCGTACCTGTCCACTGATAAACCAGATCTCTGAGCACCTCATAACTAGAACTCTTCATGAATTTGTATGTCATGATGCAGGTCCCTGCGCTGGGGCCACCAGGCACCAAACATGGGGATGGCTGGAGCTGCAGCAACTGTGTAAGGAGCAAAACCACCTTTAGAAATCTGCTTTTATTGCAACGGGTGCTCAGTGCCTGGAAGCCGGATGCTTCTGCTCACGTTTCAGCCCCACCAAGGTTTGTTTCATGTCCATCACCTTCACATGGGGGATGTCCCATGTTCCTGAGTGTGCCATGCTCCATGGCACTGTGTCCCTCATCGTGCCAACCAGTGGGATGGATGGAGCATTCCCCAGGTTAGAATCCAACCATCGGGATTTGCAAAGTGCTGGAAGCTGGTTTGTGAGCTGAGGAGCTTCAGGCACCACTGGTTTAGAGTTCACCTCAAAGTTCTACAGATGAAAAAAAAACAACAAAAAAAAGAAGTGAAAATCTGAAGCGCTGACAGTTTCATAGTCAAAAAC